TGCTAAGACCACGTCCGTATTGACCCGAAAGACACAAGTCATACTTTTGAAGATAATATTTATTTTTGTTGCTTGTATCCATGATTTAGCCAGGAGATTAAATGAACGCGTTAATATGCGTTAATTATTGCCTCCTTTGCAAGTGGGAACTGGTTTAGAATGATAACAATTGTACACAATTTCTTTATTTAAATTAACAAATGTAGACAATTAATACAATAATTCATTTAACAGTAAATGAATGCAGTACAATGTGAATAAGGTAAAGTAAAAAAGGTTCATTGAAGTCAACATTTATAGATACTGTATTTACAAAATAAAATATTCTTTAGAAAGGAAAGTGACTAGATTAGGCAGATAGTAGTCACGGAATTGCAGCAACGGTATGATATTATGTAAACAAAAGGGCTCAGGCAGTCGAGAAACATTAAAGCAGCCACTCAAACGCATTTACGCGAGTTTACGTCAAGCCTACAATGTTTGTGCTGCTGCTGCTGTTGTGGTTGTCATAGTGGTCGTTTTCGGCATAGCGTTGCTCATTGCACATTGAGTATTGTATATACCTGTATATAAAACATTTGGGTCGATAGTGATGCATTCTGCTTGGGATAGGATGCAATTTTCCGAGGCCTAACACGGTAAAGTGTCACTTTGTAGATCTTTACAAAGTGGTATACATATGTATTCAATGCCGAATGAGAGATTGTTTATTCAATAGGAGAGAGTTTGCAATGAAAACGGGGAAAAGTGTTTTTTTTTTCCATGATGTATTCTGATGACAAAAATAACCCTCACGGGCATGAGGCCAAGGTCACCGTGAGACGCATTCAATAGTTACAGAATGACATCGGTGACACATCTCGTGTGGAACACATGATCAAATGATCAATAGCGTGTACAATTAAGACTCTCCTCTTCCCCTCTCTTCTTGTTCTATCACACGCTGTATATGAGTCCTCCAGGATGATATTGGAATGCAATGCAATGGTGTTACCACTTAGTGGGGAGCATGAGGTTAGGTCTGCATCTATATCTATATCCGAGGGCGTTTCCAGCCATTCAAGCTATAACGATCGCGAGTTTGTCTCTATGAACCTTATGACGGGACCCCGGGGTCCCATAAGCCCCCGGCTCGCGCATAAACTGCGTTGCGACGTTATTGTATGTCTGTTGAAGGCGAACAATATGGCAATCTATTCCTCTCGACGAGCTCTACACGAAGCGCCAATCAAAGTTTTGTTTGTGACTACGGCATTCGTCCTCGCTGCGCTTTGACGACACGGCAACAGAATGATCTGCCCGAGGTGGGTCGCGGCGTTTATGTGCGCGGTGGGACGGAGTCGCCAAAATTAAATGGATTAATTACGATTTTGACTTCCGTTTATTCGGGACCCTGGGGTCCCACCATGAGGTTCAATTATGTCCTCGAAATTGATCAGCGTCCTCATGCGTTGAGTCGTTACAAATGGTTGTGTAATTCGCAAAGCATGAATGCCTTGCCCCTTGCACTCTTCCACATCAGGATCAATGGAAGGAAGTTGTTCAATACAGCTGAGCAAGCAATGACCTTCATGGAATTTGTTTTAAAGTCTCCTTCCTTCCATTAGAAATGAACCCATAGTGCACGTGACAGGGTGGCTCAGAGGTCAGAGCGCTGAGCTGGCACCGCTGAGATCCTGGATTCGAATCCATGTTTCACCCACCTGTGATTAAAATGGGTTCTCGAGTGTAGTCAGTTGATTACCTGAGCCCACTCACTAATAAACCGCACAAAATAACGCGTAACATTAAATTCGGTTCTGCATTTAAGTTGGCTGAATTCGACCCGAGAATAAACAATGTCAGCATGACTGTTGTGCGATGGACATTAACCTCGGTGGTAGAGTGGGTGGGAAAGTGCTGCCACTTACTCAGGTGTTCCAACGGGTTCTGTGCTTGGTCATATTCTGTCAATCTATATGGATAATATAGCATCACATAGATCTAATTCGAAATTTTTTTTTGCCCATTGCATTATTTGATTAAATGGTTGACTTTACAACGATTACATTTGTTTTTCATCGTATTCAACCTTCACCAGAATATAAACAAGACAATGTTTAATTTTATGAGCCCTAACTTTACTCATACAAGTATCTTGGCATCTGGCCCGATTTTCATCTCAAATTCAAATATATTGATTTTTTTATACAATAATTAAATAATGAAGATAGCGACTTTGTATAAAAACAGCTTCTACATGAATACATTTGATAGCCACTGCCTTGATGCCTCTCCTAGACCATGCAAACATCATATACAAGTCAACCTCTAAACCCACTTTGGATTTTCTGAATTATATTAATTCTGCCTTGTGCTTTCTGTTACAAACGAACGACTGCACTCATTAATGAGATCTTTACTTCAAGACTGATTATCATCCTCTTTCAAATCCTATGTACAAAATATTTATTCCGGATCAAAATCCCCAAAAAATCTTAGATTCCCCACAACACTAAAGCGCATTGTAGGAAGGAGAACAGATTAAAATGGTTCTCACTTATTCTGTTAATGCCCAAAATACTGTACCTGGAATTCCATCTCTTCGCAAATGCCCTTGGTTACTCGACCATCTAAATTGCATACTCTTTGGTTCTTTCGGTAAATTCACGTAGGTAGAAATAAAATAAAACAAATCACGACGTTTCGATCACAACACAAGCAATCTTCATCACGTGGAACAACCACAGCAAGAGTAAATGCTAAAGTAGGCTGTTGATTGTCTGAGAACTTCACCCGCAATACCATTTTACACATATCCTTGCCTGTTTACGTATACGTACAATATATAATTTATATTTATAGAGCGCCTTTACTCACTCTATATGTTTATGTAACTTCATATCGTAATTATACTATGTTCTTGATAAAAATAATAACGTGTCTGAGCCGGCATACATTCGAGGGAATGTATTTTACTTAACACTGACTTTGTAAACATTTACGATTTGTCACGTGGCACATTTGTTTTTGTCCCGACTTCTATTTGCTTCTTTGCTGGACATTAAAAGTTGTTTTTGTTGTTGCTTCTGACATGTGTTGGGTGTGCCAGCTCAAGTTATAATATGTGCCAGCTCAAGTTATAATGTAATAGCTTTCTGCAATGTAGATTCATATTTTGTTTGTTGCGGTTGCACCCGACTTAAGAGCCGCATGGCTCACAGAGCTATACCTAATAAATGAAACTTGAAAAAAGTTAAGCTCGTGCAAACGCAACTCATCCTACTCGATGTTTAGACTTCGCATGTACCTCGTTTTAACCAAAATACTGAAAGCATCTAATCATGATTTGTGGCCAGGCCGCATCTGAAAAAGAAGCGAATAGCTCAGTGGACGTTACTTGATAAGATAACAAAAAATAGTTTAGTTGTAATTGTATATACAGTACTTTGTTTCCGAAACTTTGTACTCCTATCCTGTTGTTTGTATTTTTGTTGTTGTCGTAACGTTCTGACACCGCCCCGTCATTGGACATCTGTGGAAAAAAAGAGCTTTATAGCTCATCGGATTCCTCCTGCAGTCTAAATAAAGATTCCGAATCTCAAGTGTGTCACCGCCACGCGGGCACGCGCGCGCCACTTGGCGGCCCTCACCTCGCCAGGGTCAACCGCCCCGGGCGGCACTGAGCCCGCGCTCGGTGGCGCGAGAAGCCTCCCCCCTCCACCTACACCCCCACCACCTACACCCCCCACCACCTACACCCTCCACCTACACCCCTCACCACCTACACTCACCACCACCTACACTCACCACCACCTACACCCTCCACCTACACCCCTCACCACCTACACTCACCACCACCTACACCCATCACCACCTACACCCCCCACCACCTACACCCACCACCTACACCCCCCACCACCTACACCCCCCACCACCTACACCCACCACCACCTACACCCCCCTCCACCTACACCCCCCACCACCTACACTCACCACCACCTACACCCCCACCACCTACACCCCCCACCTACACCCCCACCACCTACACCCCCACCACCTACACCCCCCTCCACCTACACCCCCCTCCACCTACACCCCACCACCTACACTCACCACCACCTACACCCCCACCACCTACACCCCCCACCTACACCCCCACCACCTACACCCCCTCCACCTACACCCCCCTCCACCTACACCCCCTCCATCTACACCCCCCTCCACCTACACCCCCCACCACCTACACTCACCACCACCTACACCCCCACCACCTACACCCCCCACCTACACCCCCACCACCTACACCCCCACCACCTACACCCCCCACCACATACACCCCCTCCACCTACACCCCCCACCACCTACACCCCCCACCACCTACCCCCCCACTACCTACACCCACCACTTACACCCCCACCTACACCCCCCACCACCTACACCCCCACCACCTACACCCCCACAACCTACAACCCCCCACCACCTACACCCACCACCTACAACCCCCCACCACCTACACCCCCACCACCTACACCCCCACAACCTACAACCCCCCACCACCTACACCCACCACCTACACCCACCACCACCTACACCCCCACCACCTACACCCACCACCACCTACACCCCCCCACCACCTACACCCACCACCTACACCCACCACCACCTACACCCCACCACCTACACCCACCACCACCTACACCCACCACCACCTACACCCCCCCACCACCTACACCCACCACCTACACCCACCACCACCTACACCCACCACCTACACCCACCACCACCTACACCCCACCACCTACACCCACCACCACCTACACCCACCACCACCTACACCCCACCACCTACACCCACCACCACCTACACCCCCCCACCACCTACACCCACCACCACCTACCCCCTCACCACCTACACCCCCCACCACCCAACACCCCCCCCCAATTACCCCTCCCACCCACGCCGTCTCCCCCCCACAACCCCCCCACCCACGCCGTCTCCCCCGCCCCCCCCCCCCACCACCACCCACGCCGTCTCCAGGGCGACGACGCCGCCGACGACAACAACAAGACGGTTGAGCGGTTTGAAGCGAGGAGAACCTCGCAGGTTCCTGCAACCTCCGGCAAAGACTTCATAGCGCGCAGGTGAGTTGACTCCGCCGCTCATGTTGTTGGGTACCTTTGATTTCAATGTTGTAACGCAGCAACGTAATGTTGGTGCGATATACCGCGTTCACGTCGAGAGCTTACTGCGCGCACGCAACGCATGGTACAGTATTACTGTCGATGTTAGTGGCGACGTTTCGGGTAAATGGCCCTTGTTCAGAGCAGAGAGATATGCTGCTGCGCGTCGGGGGATTTAGATTGTCATTAGTGCTGTAACGTTGTGCACATTGTCGAGTACACAAGGCACTATATGCTTATAAACACACATAGCCGTGTATAACTGCTGTGTTAGCGCTACGCTGCGCTACGAACCCGGCGACCCGAGTTCGATTCCCGCTCACGGCCAACACCAACACCAAGTGACAAATTATCTGAACCGGTTGCTGGGCCTCCCCTAGGTCGACTCAGCCTCAAACGAGTGCCTGGTGCGGTGTGCAAACATTACCACTGGGGAGACAAAGGCGGTCGGGCGTGGTGCTGGCCTCCCACCGAATCGTGTGCCGTGCCGGCCTTGATAGCAGCACTTACCCCCACCATCTCTTAAGGCTATATAGAGGGGAGGGGTCTTTGCATTTGTGTGTGTGTGACAGCACTATGTATGCGTGAATGTGATTGTATAATATATATTATATCGACGTGTGTGTGCATTCATGTGACAGTTGTGTAATGTGTGGGGTTTTGAATATGATCAATTGGGTGTGTGCAATAATTGCGCAACGGATTGTCAACCAAGTAACCCATCAGAGGAGATGTCCACCTAGGAGATGGAGCCATGGAATGATATCGTGTGGTATGGAGGTGCTGGGTGGCAACATCGCCTGATCGCGAGAGATGTCGGTGGTGGGGGCTTGGGGAGGCCTTCATCCAGCAGTGGATTGACCATGGGTGATGCATAGTAATTGCGTGCTGTGTGTGTTACAGATCCGTGAGTGTTCATGATGCCTGCAGAGCGGTCACAGAATGCAGGTTAGACATCTTTGCAGCATCTGTAACATGGTCAAAAACTTTTAATACACTTTTGACGCCTTAAAGTTCATCTTATGGAGGGTTGCCTGTGTTTTGTTGATGCATTACGCCCCAGGTGTGGCCAGGATGCTTGTAACCCAACAGCTCATTGAGCTCATTCATGTGAGACACTCACTTGCAGTGAGTGATGTTGAAAATCTGTGCAGTTTGAGTGCCTTTCCATAGTACTTATCGGTGTTCTCCGGTTGCAACCGTCTCTTGCCGCATGGAAATAAGTACTCATAAAGAAACTGACCAAGCATTCAAAGCAGGACCCTTCCAGATAAAAAAAGTCTACAGACTCAGTGAAGCTTTACTGAGTAAACAAACTACTGTTTTTCATGCACGCTCTACAGTCTACAGCAATGCTACTGCAGCATGAATACAAACCTAACCGCCAGTGGCGTAGCCATCGAGTGTGAAGGCGATGACGGAAGGGCCCACATGCCAAACTACAAATACGGGGGGAAATTGGACAGGAGGGGCGCTCATTTCATTCATTATGCCAGGGCCCATGCCAACCAACCCCACACCACTGATAACCACTCTAGGATGCAGAGCACGGTGGAGCTGTGGTCGCGTTGTCTTCCTCTTCTCTCCGGCCCCTCGAGCAACTTGCCACCACCATCACCAATCATCACCACCCTAACTTGTGTTGTAATCCCCCCCCCCCAAGCAGGTAGAAGTGAGTTATCGCTGGGTGCCATCGGTGGCATTGACGACCCAGAGCCAGGAGCACAGGATCTTGGAGCCGTGAGGCACAGGCGCGGGCCCATCGGGGAGCCCGAATCCGATTACGTGAAGCTGGCAAGGCAAGGCGGCCAACGCGGTGAGCGTCAAGGCTCAGGTGGCAAACGGGGCCCATTTATAATGGTGCCACGGCAGAGGCTTATTTGTCATTTTACTCGAGTGCTGCATGGCCACCTTAAATATGTGCAACTTCAGCAAAGGTTGATGTCTGGTGGTGCACTCAGGAAACGTTTGGTGGGATCACTCATTTGCCATTACGCCTCATTTGTGAGGTAACCAGCAGATGGCAGTACAGCAAAGTGGGTTCATTAATGAATGTGTGCAGACGATTGAGAGTTGTCCTCTCAGATGTATCGGCATTCCCTGGATGCTATTCCTCCAACATGCAAAATTATATTTCAAATGCATTTGGCCAGACATCGTAATGCAGGGCCCTTCTTTAGGAGTCTTGAGACTAATTTGAGATTATCTAAGTAAATAGGTAGTGGCATTAGTTGCCACTGCTTGTTTGATATATGATGACATGATTATCGAAAAATAACCCAAAAAATATATATATAGCAGAGTTAATCGTGCAATTGTATTGCTACTCTCATTGGCCACAGATCTGCTCAAGATGCCGGACAACTCAGGAGAGGCTAACCCATCCGTTCCATACAACCGGCCGGGCTGGCTGAATCATAACCCGCCAACTCGCAGTGGACAGGAGTAAGATAAGATTATGAACAAGTTAGGAAAAATGACGAGTACCCAAGGATAAAATGTATTTGTGTATTGGAAAATATCCCTTTTGTTCTAGTGTTAGTCGATAAGTTGGGAAAACCTTTTATCATGGCCAGTTGTCAAGGTAAGTCCCTAATATCATGACAACTTTATACTGCAGGTTGGCTCACATTATCTTTACGAAATTTATAGTGCTTAATTCATCATGTGGTTTGTGATCGCATATATATTTCCAGGCCACTGTGTGGTGACATTTTGATGTTGGGATTTTAAAAGCCTAATTGCTGGGTCACAATTGTATCCATGGCTGTACAATGTATTAAATTTGCCACATAAAACGGGATCCTTGTTAAATAGGTTGCATACTTTTGTCTTGTTTTTTTGTTTGTTTAGTAAATCCGCAACTGCCAGGGCAGTGGGATTCCCTGCGCAGGAGAATCTGAATTGGAGTGACATCAAGGCCAAGTACATGACGAGGGAGGCGCCTTTTGCCACCGACCCTGTGTCTCTGCGTCAGCAGACGCCAGGCGCGGCTAAGCTAACGACTCACGGGGTATGGGAGGTTGCATTATATTATCTGGTGTTAGCTAAACGTCCAAACTAAATATTGCCTGAAAATTGCTCAATTGGGAATACACTGCAGCAGCAACATCGCCCCCTACTGTGAAAACTTGGCAGGACCCTCCCGTGAGGCTTTCCTGGGTGAACAAGAGCGATAATAAAAAATAATAAACTCATTAATAGAATCAGCGCTGAATAGCTGTAATTGTTTTAGTCAATTGAAGTAATACGGATGAGCTATAAATAGTGCTGTCATTTGAGTAAATATTAATGCAAAGTCATGTTGGAAGCATAGTATTAAACACACACACATGGATGTGATTGACAGAACTGGTGAGTCCCGTTTAAACTTGGCAGAGTGCTCATTGGGTACATTACTACGTGTGTTCTACAAAGATCGAGCACTGCCAGACTTAGATGACTGTCCACCAACATGTGAATTAAACTAGTTCTGTCACGTTTTGGTAAACAATGAGGAACTCTTTAAACATACGAATTACTGCACACTGGAAAATAAATACACGCAGAGTAACTTCAAAGACAATTTTAGGTGGTCTAAAACAAGGCTGTGTGCACTAAACATGCAGCATGGTGATGTCACGTGACACGCAAGTTATCATGGGAGAACTGAGCTTATGGTCACAAACATCACCCATTGCTGTCGAGAAATTAACACATGAATCATACACACTTGTCTGCAGTGTTACGTTTGGAAGTAATGCAGGGTTCGTTCTGTCTGTGATGCCAAAGGTTGGAAGTGCCAGTGAAAGGAGTGGGAGCATCAGCTCCATTCCGGAGAATACAGTCTCAACAACACATGAATTCGAGGGGAAACCACCTCCCCTGAAATCCAAGTAAGATTGGGTGATGAAGTGAAATGTGAGTGTTAGAAACAAAACTGCAGCACCGTTATTACCGTAAACTCTGCCTTCAATCAATGGACACACTGCAGAGATGAGCAATGCTCAATGCTCAGCCGAGCATGGGCCCAAACCGCACATTGGCAAATCTCAAGTTTATGCATTTGCCCAAAAAAACGTGTCAAACAAATCGCCAAAGTCAACGGACAAATCTCCAAGGTGGTGTTTAAGCCATTTTGTCCAGCAGCGTTGTCGCTATTAAGTGTGCAGGCGGTACAAATGGACCAGGACTCACAAGCCGGAAGGGCTCAGGCCCTGGGCTATGAAGTAGTGGGGAGTGAAATTTGACAGGATGCTCCATTTCGGCCCCGGCACCATGACCCATGCCAACCACGCCATGTCACTATTGTCAAGACGTAAACCTCGCCATTTGACTTCTCTTGCTTTGTAGTGCCACGCCCAGACGGCAGAGAGAGGAGACCAACATGTGGACGCTGATGAGTTTTGGCTACACGGGTGACTCGGCTCCGCACCAGAGCGTTGCGAAGGAGTCGGAAGCCCTTTCGCCCCAGGGTGGAAACACGGAGCGACCGTGGGCCACCGATCCAGCCTCCCCCAAGGGAGCGGAGCAGGCCAAGGGTGACGATGAGCTCAAGAGGTGCGTATACAAGGCAGGTGTTGGTACAGGATGGTACAAGAGCTGGAGTGCCAATAATGAGGCCACGAGAGGAAGCGGGTGGTGGCATTTTCTTCTCATGAACGGTGGGGATGGAATAAATGCCAGGTACCTACTTGTGTGCATGAGTGAATGAGAAGGTGTTAGAATTCTAACTTTTTATTGTGCTGAGAGAGAAATTATTCCATTCATGCCTAGATTTCATTTAATATTACTGAATTTTGATTTAAAGCTTTCGTGACTGCAGTGATTCATATTCTTGGTTCTTTCGGTAAAGTCACGTTGAAGGGAAACAATAAAATAATAAAATATATATTAAACAATAAAATTATCACGACGTTATTGTTTCCCTTCAACGTGACTTTACCGAAAGAACCAAGAATATTAATATTACTGCTTTTACACAATTACTTATATCGGAGTGACTTCATAATATACAACATGAAGCTTAGGTTAAAGATATTTTACATGAAAACTAACTCGGAGTCACACTTTCGTCTCTATAATGCTTTGCTAAGTATTCACGTCACGTGCAGTGTGTGATGCTGCAACGTACATTGTGCTCTTGTGCTCACATTCGCGTCTTCCTTTGTGTCAAGCAGGGATGACTTGGTGAAGAGATATGGGAGCCGCAGTGCCGGGCCCACATTCTAAGCTCCACGACTCCCAGCTCCATGGCAGACGGAGCTGCCCCTACCTGCATTAATTGCACCACGTAGCGACCATACATGCCGCACTGGGACTGTCCGTTCGCTCCAGGTTGTGTTGTGTTTATGAGCGAGCCCCCTTTCGAGGCAGCGTGAGGCTTTTTACCGGCAGGCGGGGCTAGAGCACAACTTTAAGGCACCTTGTCTGTGTGGCCGTATTCACATGACTTGGCTTACGAAGGTACGGAGGTAATGAGTAAAACAACACCCCACGTGCTAATCCTTCAGGTGGAATTAATCATCCCGCCGGTCGGATGAAAAACCTAACACATATGTATACGCGCGTGGCTTGTTAATGCACCACTTCCCGAATGAAACAAATATGACGTGCTGAACCCGTAATGCACGTGGAATAACTTTCGATGGGATGGGCAAATTTTATGGGTGAAAAATGTTCCATTTATCCAGAGGACCGCATAAATTAGACAATGATGATGTAATAGAGTGCACGTAACGATGTTGACAAGTCACAATATTCAACAAACAAAAAAGTAGCTAAACCAGTGTGACCTCTCCACCCGAAGTGACCTCGCCTAGAATGTTTTTGGAAAGTGGAAATCTTTGTTGGATATAGGCACCAGCTTTGCCATCTGCTCAGAGCACTTATCGGTTCACACGAGCACACCCAGTTGCGCGCAGCACCCAAGCGTGACTGCACACAGGTTTCTCAACAACGTTGTTTCCATGGTCATTGTGCTTGTTTAAACGTGCTAATAAAATTGTCCAACTCATTTCATGGCACGCGCCATTGGCACCGTAAGACATCATGTTAAAACGCGCTGTGTTGTTTAGGATAATTTAATTCAATTTCATCACCAATACCTACGCAAAGCATTTAATTACATTTCTGAGTTAAGCATACTCATATTTAGCGTGTCTTTTTTAGGTGGCAGGTGAAAACTATTTGGGGGTCAGAGACAATTTATTTTGAAAATTAAATGTCCAAGAATCGAGAGTGCGAGGTTGCCGCAAGCCACACCACGTGGTTAGAGGCTGTGTGAATGCTAGAGCTGGTAAACGGATTCGAGTGGACTAAAGCCTTGGTAGCTCTAGCCACTTAGCCACCTATGGATGTTATGACAAATACTGTACGACATATGCTGTAAAATATTTAATGTGATTTTTTATCAAAGATTTTTAAAGCTATGTTTAGTATGTTACTGTATAACACAACTATAACAACAAGTATGCTATGAGTATGTTATGTTCAAAAGTCCAAAAATAAAATGTATGCAAATACCGCGACGTGTGAAGTCTTGTTTTTATATATATAGAAACCACTAAGTTTTTATATTGTTATAGAGCCACGTTATTAAATGTTGAGGCAATCCCATTAAACATACAAACATTTACTGCATTGCCAGTGGTGTACAACGTTTTAAAAAGCGTATCATTAACACTGCCTGCCAACAAATATACTTCATTAGGCAAAGATTTTGGGCGCTTGACTCTCGGAGCAGAATGTATTGTTGATGAGACGTAGCCATAAAATGTTATCTTGTACTATATATTACTATATATGCATGTCCACGCAGTGTGTGCATTGTTGTCCAACACCAGTTTTAAAGCTTGTCGTTTAATTAAATCAATTATGAGCATTCCTGCTCCGACGAATACAAGAGTCTAGCTCTGATTGCCGGTCAACAAACGCTGGATGAAGAGGCTGATTGAAGTGACTTCAAGAGGAGTTCTATGACGACATCGGCTGAAGCCGTTCTCTGACACGAGCTCGTTGGGCACCGCTCGCGACCACAAAGTTACAAATGGATGTCACAGTATTTCATTGTGCGGTACCGCGACGTGACACCGATCGAGCATTGTATCAGCGCCCAAGTAATTGGCTGTAGAAAACATGTGGACATATATGCACCACCTTGTTTGCAGATTGTGTCGCGCTGCGAGATGCAGTTTGCACGAATGACATTGCTATCTAGGCATTCATTATTATCATAGGCGGAGTTTGACTTCTATATTTGGGGGGGGGGAGTAGCCGGGGTTTACTCTGTCCCTCACATTTGGAATCGAGCGATAATATCATTTATCTTAATTGTGAATTACTGAAAATAAATTAAGGTGTCCAGTTGCTCCCACGTGCTCCCCCCCCCACAACTCCGCCCATGATTATTATCATATAATTATTAGAATACGTAATTTTACAGCACAATTTTTGAAAATAACGGCGACAAAGAAGACAATTGTACGAGACGAAGCCAAACAAAGAATTGTCATCTCGTGGGGGTCGCGCCGCCCGAGGGGGTGGGGTTGGTGGTGGTGGTGGGGCGGAGGTGATGGTGGCAGGGGGTGATGATGGTGGGGGGGGGGTTGGTGGTGGTTGGGTGAGTGGTGGTGGTTGGGTGAGTAGCGCAGGGGGCGGGTAGGCGTCGGCCCGTGATGAATGCCCCCCCACGTACCTGCCCCACTGAGCAGGAGCCGCCGTGACCAAAGGTGGGGAACAAGAGGCCGTGATGGATTTGGGAAACCACGCGGCGTCTTAGCGTGCTCGCTGGAATGTGCGGGCCTCTCCCCCTCTGTTCAGTTTACGTTCAGTTCAACCCCAATTCTAACGGATTCTGCAAATGATGTGAAAAAGTTCGATCGTATGGAGGCTGGACACACCAGTAACAGTAATGTACACGCTGCATCATAACGTGAGTTTGTGTGTGCAGAATAGACAGTAAACTGCATACACACGTGAAATGGTACACTATGTCTACAGTATTATTCGATTATAAGAACCCCCCCACCCATTATAAAGCAAGAGTTGCAAGAGTTTCAAGTGCGTGTTCTTATAATCCGGTAGGTGCAGTGCGTTACCGAGTGCTTAACTCAATTGACACCCCATCCGCACTTTCGGGGTTGAGTCTTCCTCCAAAGCAGCTTCTTGTGGTCCGGATAATACCGGATAACGTTTAATTTGATTGATGCATGGTCGTTGGTTATGCAGCCTAGTTTTAAAGCCACGTGTACTGAATGCAATCGACCCACGGCGAGTGGCGACTGATAATCGAATGGGTCTGGCCCAGCTTCTTCCAGTCACAAACCCGATACTGACCAGCGTGGTGAAGTAGATGGTCACGACTTTGGGAGGAGGGCTTTCGTCAAACAGTGGTGTTGATGTAGGGTTGCAAGCTATATATTCGTAAATGTTACATATATAATATGAAAAGCTCTCAGCCATTGTGCATTTTGCTAAATCATGAGCGCTTACTAAATACCCACATCGTGGTCTTCTTGTCTTACGTGACACGTCAAATAAGTTTGAGCAAGTGAGAGACATCTGGGGACCCGTTTTTTGTCTTCGTTAGGACTCATCAGCACAGTATAGTCACCAATGCTCACCGCTGCAAAGTCTGCCTCTGCGAACCATATGAAGAGTCCCAACTTCTTTACACGACGGGGCCCGTAAGCTTGGCCCAAGTAAACAATCACATCTGTAAATGACGAGAACCCCCATCACAACGGAAACACTGCACAGCTCGGGAAACCACGCGTTGCTTCTTTGTGCGCGTTATTGTGTGTTGTTTCGAAATGCACACAAGACTGGCAATTCCACACTCCCTCTCATCATATTTAAACAATGATATTAGCCAGTTGTCCACAGTAAAGTCATGCATTTGCTTGGGACAACAATCTCATCATACCGGTCATGGTTACATTACCAATCTGACCAAAGGGGCACCGAATACGCGTGGTTTTCTTCTCCGTTGGAAAGTCTTCTGGAGCTCTGAGCAATTATTACTGACACAAAGCGCAAATTCTGCCCAAGTTAAAAAAAAACTGCTGCTGTTATTTGGGGTCGGGTACCAATTTCTTACCACACTGTATTGAACAATGTTTCAATGTTAAGCAGTTGTGTTGATCGAGCATCCATCACTCACTGATGCACTGCAGTCACTCGCTCACCCGCCGGCCTGTTCACCTCCCTGTCGCTCTTCTATCGCTCGCTACTTCCGTGGTTACTTTCTCCACGAACTGAACTCATTGATTCATCCACCCATGTTGAGGACTCGGTCTACCAGACTGAATGTTTCGTCTCATCCTTACTCTGTTCAACCAGCACGAACCGCACTGCAGGGCACAACGCTTCCCTTTCTGGGTATTCCCTCGCACCGCTGAGACGTTTGAATTCCCTCCCCCATCGTCTTTTGTCCCAAGTTCTTATAATAACATTGCTCAATTTCGCACCTCTGATTTAACACGCTTGGCTACGTGCGGTGCGAAATAAGTTTATTCTTACCTCTAACACCGTTGATACTAAAACAAAACATGCAATGTGACTGGTGTTAGCCAAGCATCGCATTGTCGAAATAGGGCCTCCGCATTACTCAATTGCTAATTAAAGATAGTAACATTGCCCCCGACTGCGAAATATTGTCAGGACCCTCCTGAAAGTGAGTTGAGACTCAGGCTTTCATGTGTAAATACAGTACGCATATTCAGAATGATGATAGTGCTACTTATTGCTGGTCGTTTGATGTTTTAGGCCAGTGCTCAGCAACTGTGTTAAACAATTTTTTAAATCAACGGAACATGTATACAGACAACAGCCGTTCGCCACGACGCTTGTGCCAGGCTAGGTTCACCTTGAGGCTACGTGAACAATCGAAGGCTCGTTGCTGGCAGGGGGTCCACGGGACAGACCCAGGTGCCACGGGGTTGACTCACTGAGATGGCTGGCACAAACACCCAGACACACGCACGGACCTCATGCATCCGAGCGTGAGTTCAAACCCGTGACCAAGGGCTTCGTTTCTTCTATGCTGCTGCTGCTGCCCTTTGAAATCGCGTAATGTCCGGGCGCTAATGTGTCTGTCCTGGCTTTGGATATCCGGGCCGGCGGCAGTGGAGGCATTTGTGTGATGGAGGAAGGGGAGGAGGAGATGGGTGTGCATGGGGGGCAGGGTGACGAGAGGGAGTGCAGGGAGGATGGAGGTCGCGTTGGGAGTGGGGGGGAGAGAGAGCTCGAGGAGGAGGGAGAGGAGGAGGAGTGAGCTTTCTGGGTGAAAGCGTGGCGCGGACGGGAGGAGGACGGGATCTCACAGTGGGTGGACGGGGGTGGGCTGGCTGGTAGGGAGAGGGGGGTGGTGATGGTAGTGGTGGTAGTTGTGGGCAGGGGGGTTGTTCACTGCGGAAAGGGTATATGTCAACTCGGAGCAGTTTGAGACGTTTGCAAAGGCGGAGTGGCGCGATATTAACAGCGACTGGTCGGTGGAAGTACTTTGTAGAGAGTGCTCCCATACCGGAGAGTCTCGGACGAAGCTACAAACTCCACGTGTCGCGCTCGGCACACGGGTTGGGGGGCATCTTGGGTGCTTGCGAGCGCCGTGAGTTATGAGGATTATCACTGCTGGTAGTGTTTCTCGTGGCTCTGTGTAGAACGGGGCGGTGGGTTTTGTGTGTGTGTGTGCGCGTGTGGAGAGCCGTGTCTGCTATGCGAGAGGGACAGTGAGAGAGTGCCGTGCTAGGCGCCGCGTGCTAGCGGAGGAGGATCAATGAGTGTGGTCATTGAGTGAGCCGAAGTGCGGGAAGTTTGCTTGCGGCTGAAGCAGAGAGAAAGAAGAAGGGCTCAGAAACGTGACCGACTCCCATCGCTCTGCGTGCTGCGTCTCTGGAAATCGCCGGTGTGGTTGGCTCCTGTTTTCCTCCGCCACCTTCATCATCATCTTCTTCTTCGTCGTCGTCATTCGCAGTGCCGACGAGAAGAGGACAGGTAAGGCACCCCACCATCAGTGACGTGACAAGCTCCACGCTCACGCCGCGTTCATCACTGACACAGAATGTATACATTTCGTAAAAAAAACACGCGTTTTGTATCTGAGCAAAGTAACTCGTTTTGGGCTGCTGAGAGGATATTGTAATAATCGTCAGCGTGATTTATACGCAGTCGCGTTCAAGTATGATGATTAAATTGATAGTTCATCACCAGACTGATGATGGTTCTGATCTTCGTGCCTTGTTGCAATATAAACAACTCGTTAAATAAAAGCCCCGCTGTGCTCCAACTTGCCTCGTCAGTGCTCAGCTTCCCATCCACATCACGTCCATTCGCATCGTCTAAGTAGACCAACGTTTCGGGCAATGACTCTTTGTCAGAACAGAGAGAGAGAGGGGGGGGGAGGAGGATATCGAGATCGAAGCGTGAGTCAGCCTGAGCTCACTATTTATTTACACTCGCGGTGTCTCTGTTGCTGCACACGTTAAGCGACGGGGTTAGGCGGGGGGATATTTCGACTAACAAAGG